GTTGCTCAGCTGATGGGCGGTTTAGTCGGCGCTGCTCTCATATATGCAAACTATATCCACGCGATTGATATCGTCGAAGGAGGAAGAACGATACGAACGCTGAAAACGGCTGGGTTATTTTCTACTTACGCCGTAAGTGCCCGTCTCTCACTAACACCTTATGCACCTTCTGACCTGCTGATTACGCAGCTCAACTACATGACATCCGTTTCGTGCTTCTTCTCAGAGTTCTTTGCATCGGCGGTACTTCTGATTGCTGTATTCGCTTTCATCGACAAGAAGAACCACGCGCCACCCGCTGGTCTCCTCCCAGTACCGCTGTTCATACTCATCCTTGGTATCGGAGCTTGCCTTGGAATGCAGACGGGTAAGGCCCTTCCGCATCGTCATATGTTTTGGTTTTTGATCTCTGGTACTTATGAATAGGCTATGCAATCAATCCCGCTCGTGATCTTGGTCCGAGGATATTGACGTCGATGGTAGGCTATGGGACTCAAGTGTATTCATTTAGAAAGTGAGCCTATTTTCCTTCGACTTTCTCATGCCAATGCCAGGATGTTGATTATCATGCACTTCTTCCTTCCCGCAAGTCAATACTGGCTCTGGTGTCCCGTAATCGCTCCCGTGTGCGGTGCCTTGGCTGGATCGTTCTTCTACGACGCATTTTTATATGATGGAGAGGACAATGTGATCGCAAAATGGTTCCATACAACGTATGTGCCGTGCTTGTTCCTATGATTCTGGTGGGAAGCTTATTCCAGATATGATAGAAAAACGGTCACAAGACGACGGAGTGATGATAGCATGGCTTAAACAATTGAATTATTACTATTCTTGGTTCTTGGTTTCATGATTGGCATGATTGGCATGATTGGCACGAGGCTGTTGTACTGCTACTGATGTAGAATGGTAGATTAGTGTACACGGGTATATAATGTAAGAAGTGTCTCTGTGTACCTTAAACCGAGGTGGTGAGTCAAGGTTGATGGAGTAGTACACACCGATTTTCGTGGGGAATGTAATTCGTGTGGAACATAATGGCTGCATGAAACTGAGCGTGAGGTAATGTGGATGGCAAAATGGCAATTGCCAAGGTACGGCAAAATCTTCAATCGGATAGTTACTTAGACAAACGATCCCGGAGATGGTTGGGAATTTGCTTAAAAAGGTCAGCATAACACTTCAGACGATAGAGTGCAAACATACCTTCATCAGCTTCGAGGTCTATGAGCCTTTTTGAAGAGCTCTCCGCCAACAGTGTTTCCGCCAACGACATCTTCTGTCCTGGCCAGCCCCATCCCAACCATCATTTCCTATTGAACTGCCTGCATTTCGTTCTCCTTTGCTCATCCTTTTTCTGCGCTTCATGATCCTTCTTCTTCTTAGGTGTCGAGTTCGTCTTTGAACAGTTGAGAGGTGAAACCATAGATTGTTCGAGGGCGGTGGATGCGGTGGTGCGCTGGCTGACAAGGGCAGGACTAATGGTTACTTGAAGACAACGCTACAGATGGTTAATTCAGACGACCAGGTATACAGGGTGTCGTCGTTGGCCGCGATGAGGACAGGACATGGTGGTGGTCGAGTACCAAGAGTGATCAGTTCACCTGACGCGCGAACCCAAGCATTTGATTGCACCCTTCAAAGCTCCACCTTTCAATGGTAGTGACGGCTTTATTCGAATAAACCAGAATACGTCGGATTCTCGGACACAACCCCGAATCACCCGGTCACAGATACAAATTCAAACGAGGGTACAGAATCACCTCGTCGTCATCAGTGTCGCCTTCCACTGCGTCTGAATCTTCAGAGACCGACTCGTCTGTGGTTGTTGATCTATTCATGTCAGGGCTGAAATAGCAATCTGTTGGCAGGTGCAAACCGTCAATTTTCGGCAGTACGAGCATTCAAAATCAAGAACTGACCATCATAGTCAACCTCTTCGAAGCGCGACTTTCCACCTGCTACTTCCAGTATCGTGTCTCCAAGAAATATAGCAAGCTCCGTCGATGTACGCTCGAAACCTTGCGAGCGATGTATCATCTCAAGCACGTCGTAGGAGCTGCGATCCCACCGATCATGCCACACCTCCATCTCAGTCGTAAACATCGGAAGCCCCAGATTCAGCCATTTATATTCCAACATCTCTTCGACCCCAGAAGGGTTAAGCGACCAGAAGTACTTCGCCTCTCTCAGCCAGGAATCCCATCTTTCTTCATCGTCGCATGGACGGGGAATCGGTCGGATGAAAAGGTAAATTGGCGTTTCCTCCGAAAGGTCCATGCCTGCATGAGATGTCTCATGCTCCCCGACATGTTCAAACTTGAGCCGAAAACCTAGGATCGTACCTATCATGATCTTATCAGTACCCTCGCCCGAAGCGACGAACAATGAAACTCACAATATTCCCCCCATTCATCCTCATCAATCACAAGCTGGCTAAAAGTACCATGTGCCTGCGATAGCCATGATTCCAAAAAGTCAGTCCGAGCTTCCAAGGGCCGCAGGAAATAACACAGTCCAAATGACTCTCGATCTCCCATATCCGTTGGTTTCAACGTGAACCTGGGATCTCAATCAGCATAAATATCCACTTTGCCACCATTCGCCGCAGACACACCTCACTGATCCATCGTCCATTGTGAACGCGCTCCCTTGCAGAGCGTCTGGTATGACGGAATTCCTTTCCACAAACTCGTAATACCATCTCTCTAAGTTGTCTTCTGGGTATTGAGCGACGATTTCCCGAGAGGCTCGGTGGTAAACCGCGCCAGGTAAAGATGATAGAATCGATTTTGCGTCTTCTTCATTTGGATAATCAAGGGATGCTTGGTTGAACCAGCGGATGCCCCGAATGATGTCGCTTGTTGAGAGCGTTCCATTGAGGTATTCGAAAAGAACGTTGGTGTTGCTGTACGTCTGAGGACTCAGGGAAGGGCGAACTTCATCAGCGGTTGGAAGGTCAACAAGGTCGTAGATGACGTTGCTGTTATCTGGGACGACAAGCCCGATGTGTAAGGAACCAGTCCTCGGGTTGAGCCAAAGTTCTCGACATAACTAAATGTTCAAGGAATTAGGGTCTGGCAATGATCTCGCTGAGGCTGACATACCAATGTACAATGTAAGCCTTGCACTACGACGGCCTATATGAGAAAAACAGTCAACCAAACAAGAGGGAAAGTGTACGTGTTGGAACGTACTTGGTAGGAAAAATATGTCAGCAGGGCGGATGAGAAGTGGTTTCGTTCTACGATTTGCGATACTGGCACAAAGGCTATGACACACAACGCATTAAGCCAGACTAACGTAGCAGAATTCTGACCTTACCATCGTGAAACACTAGTGCAGGCAGCAGGTTCATCCTACTGTAGCCAAATAGCTGGAGGGTGTTACTATCCCTGGATTAAGTATCGTCAGAATACAATATACAATATTTGAAAGATGAAAGGCCTACTTGACGACGGAGAAGCTATCAAAGTCAATTTTCCAAGCCTATGCAAATACAGAGGTCAGCGATATCACCTACTAGATTGGGATTAGCCTTACCTTGCAGGCGTCGCGACCACTGTATTTGACATGCAAGAACCCTTTTTCTTTATCTTCGCCGCTGACCTCAGCCAAGTAAATAGTTCGGCGAGCGTCCAGATTTTTCCACCCTCTTTCATCCGTTCGCACTGAGGTCTCAGCAATCTTTTGCTTGAGATAAACTTTTCCAATCGGGATTTCTTGGTACTGGATAAGGCAGGTGCGGAACGTCAGAAAAGTACTGAATACGCTTCCATTCGGCGACGTACCTCGTCCAGAATCGTCCGTTCTCTTCTTTCCCTGTGATGCGAGCACTGTACGATACTGACATGTTGATCCCTGCCAACAGTCGAAAAGTTTCCGCCTTCGATAACAACACGGGTGGATCCCTGGAAAAGAGACATGGGAGGCGATGAAGGGAGGAGAGCAAGGAAGGGGAACAGCTGCTGTATATATGTTTAATCATCTTACCCACGAGGACGGGAGAAGCCCTCGCACTGCTCAACATGGAAACTGACAGAGCCCTATCATTTCCAGCAAGTCATGATTACTAAAAAAAAATAATACAGCACGACAGCGCCTCTCGCTGATAGCACGAAGAGAGCTAATGCTGAAATCCGCACTGGGGTCATCAACTATCTGCAGCCTCCGAATTCCGATCGTGTAATTCCTTCCATGACGGTATCGATGTCTTGCGGGAGTACACCTCGAATGATAATACACGCAAAGTGGGTTTCAGGCGCTGTTACTAGTACACAGATGATCCAGGACGTTGGGGTATTGAAGTTGGAAAGAAGCGGCTGATGGCAATTGTGTGGTATAATTCGTGTCCTAAGAATGTTCTCATCTTACCAATTCATTCGGTCATGAAGACCAACTCCACGTCTATATCCAATGGGGGGCTGAAGAGTGTGCAGCCAGTAGACGCACACTGAACGGCACCCGTCAACGTGTCCCTTGAGAAGCCGGAAGTGATTGGATTTGCTCAAGAGCTATATGATGGACTGGGAATCCTATATCAGAGAGAAAACGAAGCGCTATGAGCCACTTAATTGTGAGTAAATGAGTACATGCTGAGAGAAAAGCTGATGAGGTCAAGTTGAAAACTCACGACTCAAATCTCGGAGAGGTCGGAATCTGAGCATGTTCACAACTAGTGTATATCTGAGGGTGTACTATCTGGATTGGAGAGGATGTAAAAGTAGGAGATCCGAGAGAGAGAGAGGAAGTGACATGGGGGAATTGAGAAGAGATGGTCACTGCACTGAGCGCTAACCTGGCACGTCGACTTTAGGGCAGGTCAAAAGAGCTCCAGCTGAACGTTGAACGTTGAACCCTTTGCAATAACGTAGACAGGAATCCCAATCAAGTGGATAGTTTGGATGAATAGTGTCTGACCGTCAACATCCTCGGCAAACGATACACTTTTGGGGTCCACCACTTCTAGAATAAGGGAAAATTTTTCTATGGCTTCCTGAAGGTGCTACCAGGGTTCGAACCTGGGTTTCGGGAATGATGACCGGAGCAACACACAGTACGATAGTCAAAATCCCGAGTGATAACCACTACACTATAGCACCAGTTTCAACAGCTGAACTAGTTTTTGTCTCGTCTCGGGATGGTTGTGAGATTTCGACATTTGGCGTGAATATTACTCTCCTATGGAAAACTAGACGAGCACATTCATATCTTCGAAGTTACGGACATGAAAGGCAATTCAGCAGGACGCCGGGTTATTCCCACGGGAAGGCCAAGGCCCAAGGGAAAGGGCCGCGAGTAGGTTTGTAAAAGCGAGCTTTGCGGGATATCAGAAGGGATCAAAAGGATGAGGCCTATATAAAAGCTAGTAGTAATGACAGAAACCGGATACTCGGAAGCTCAATGCGTTTAATCTCCACCGCCAAGAATCCCATCACCACATGGCACTTGTGAACCCACTCAAGACCCGAAAATTTCTATCTTGAGCATTTCTATGGCGTGGTCGAGTCCCAAAGTAAATCTTAGTCGCAGCGTGAACTGGTATTACAGCAATTTACGAAACCCTAGAATATTTTTGAGAAACTCTAGGCAATTGATCTGTTTACATCCAAACAAAGGGTTCCACCCGGCCAGCTGTGCCGCTCCAGCGCTTTCCTGGCGCTTAGGTCTTTCAAGCAGTTCACGGTGACGCTACCGACGCCGTTGAGCGAAAACGACCACTACAGTATAGCATGTGGTTTACGAATGCCATTCTATTGCTACAGGAATATCTTTAATATACTATCTCTTCTTGTGAAAACAGACGGCTCAGGCCGAGGTGGCCCAAAAGTCAGTGTCCGAGCGCAGAATCTGAGTGACGCATAGCACTCAGAGCTTTGTTTTGTGAGGGAGCTGGATTGCGGTATCCCTTAGACCTACCAGAAAACGTGAAATCGGTGGTGAGGAAAGAAATTCCAAGATGCTGCCTCGGTGAAGCGCTGGACAAGCGCTGGGGCGGCACACCTGGCCGGGTGGAGCCCTTTGTTTGGGCATAAACACCATCAATAGCCTGGAGTTTATCCAAAATATTCTAGGGATTCGTAAATTGCTGTAACGCGAATGTGAACCGACGACAAACCAACGACATGTGTCGGCCCCACAGTGTTTGACTTCGCGGTACTGCGTTGGTACTGCGACAATAGGCCACTGCGACCAAGGTCCAACAAGCGACACGGAGAAAGTGGGCGTTACAGCGTACAATGCTTGGGAGTGTTTCACGGCTCGGCGATTTGCATAACGTGGAGTTGAGGTCGTTTAGACCCACTACGGTAGAGCATTGACATGACGGAAAAGTGTGGAGGCTCCTCGTTTAAGTGGATCAGAATCCAAGTTGCAACAAAAATCCACTAGAAAAATGCCCGATACCTGTACTGGAATGGAGCCATTGTTTGCTCGGTATTTTGAAGCGACCCACTCCCATCCTTCCGAGCAACATAAGCTCCGACAAGCCGACAAGCCTGATAGCACTAACTACCAGTTGTCACTGGTCAGAGATCGTGAGTCGACGATTCATGTTCGACATAGACTTCGTTAGGGTAGTTTGACTGTGGAAAATGCAGGTGCTTCGATTTAGTGGTAGAATAAGTGGGGTAGCTTTGTAAGTACCCCGAGTTTAAAGGTACTTAGCATGAAGGAGCAAGTCGAGTAATGGGCACCTGGGCGCTTGTCTGGCTGTCCACCCTTAACCCGAGCGCCCCAATATGTGCTTTGGGGGTGGTATGTATCTTTGTTCCTGTTCATCGGGCAATTGTGGACAGTCCGCTAGCCGTATCAAAGTGGATCCAGGTTTCGACATATTTGATGCTCAAATACTATAGAATTGTACGTATTTCGATACTGGATAAAGCAAGAAACTTGAACACACCAATCGGAACTTCATTACTTGTTGGAACATCCCCAAGACCTGGCAAAGGCACCATCAACTATAAGATGACAACGATTTCATGGAGAAAGCCCTCCTGGTGTTTCCGATGTAATCGTGGTATATTCCGCATCCTGGACACCTGTTGAAAAGATGTAACGACTTTGCGAAAAACGGCGCCCTAATCAAATCGTTTGCGCCAAGTAGAATTGTATTTCATCTCTTGTAAGAGTCTGGAGTTTGACATGTCCTAGTATCTCGGAAAAAATAAATGATTAACGAAGTACAAAAATGGCAATAACGCAATCGACGGCCTCACCTAGTTCACGGACGGCTCTCTGCAGTCCTCTTGTCGTTCGACAATAAAACAGTGAAAAAAAAAAATGGAATTGTTCTTGGTTTCTGGTGCATGACCAAGCTCTTCTCCAGCAACTCGTCCAATACTTCCCTGTCTCTCAATCACCAATACTGTAGCCCATTTTGAACATCGATCTCTGTCAAAACGTCATTGATACGGAAAACGCCCGGCCTCTACTACGACCCTGAATCGATCAAGACAAACCTTGCCACCATCATAGCAGGTATTCCATGCGCTGATGAAGAAGAGTGACTGCTCGAATGACATCACTTGATGACCGGAGAGCATATAGCACCCGCGATCGTTAAAACTAGAGCTCCTATAGCATCTCCAATCCTCCATGAGGTCTGCTATCCACTGGTGAGTAGCCTTAAAATAGAGCTTCATGCGTTTGATATACGCTGCAATCTCCTAGGGTCATTTATATGGGTTATAATCAAATGAAAAAGGAAGCACTCAGATGACTCCGTACTTAAGCAACCGATCCTTAACCATAGCTATGATTAGTCACATGCTAGTGGCGGCTAATATGGAAAGCAAGGGTACATAGAGGGTATCCACGAAAAAAAAACCTGAGGGTACGCCCAAGGGTATTGCAAATTGGGTCACGGGTACGTACCCCCCGGTTCGACGGGTATTCAGGGTGCGGAAGCACAAAGGGAAGCTGTGGACAAACGCGCACAGCTTCCACTCACGGCCACCTGACGCTTTCCACCTCCGTTTTCCCGAGTCGTATTGTTTCGGAGACAATCGCGTCTCGCGTGTAGACTTAGAGATTAGATAGATTCTGTCTTCGCCGTACTCTTACTTTCTATCACCTATATTGCTCAATATACTTGCTCAACACCCTGCGGATCGTTCACACCTAGAGTAAAGGAAGGAAACTACTATTCATTCAAAAGCATGAGAACAACGCTACGATCTAGATACAGGCTTTTCTGTGAGTCACATTAAACTATCCTTGTCGCACAAGTCTTAGCCTCGGGCCACACAGTCTAAGAGAACAATGCACTCGCCCGCACAACGACGGTTTATTCTTATGTCTCCATTGTCTCCGCCAGGTCTGAAGCAGAGGATAAGAAGGGCAACAGGCAAAGACACCCAACCTTTCCTTTCTAACACCTTCACTTTTCGCCTCGACCCAATGGACACCTTCGACGCCAATCATACGTTCTCTGACACCTTCAATTCACTTTTGTCAACCACAGGCTTCATCCCCAATGTTCCACATGTACCCGATACACACTTCTCCGATCAGGGAGTTTGTGCTCCTGTGCAGAACGTTAGCACCGTTCCAGGACTTCAACAGTCACCATTACCTCTCCAACATGGCAACCAGCAAAACCAGCTTATCCTGGCATCGACGACAGCTCGTGAGGTGCTCATCCAAGAAGCTCACCAAAACCGCCTACAACTCGAAAATCAGATGGAGGAACGGGGAAACACAGCGGCCTCTTACGAACGTCACTTCAAAGCATACAAAGATTGGTGGATCCTCGATCAACGGCGCCGCAAGGACGAAGATCCGGGTTGGGAGGTGCAGGAAGCCGAACCTATAACTGCAGCGAAGGCAGCATTATTTCTGAAATACGAGTCCACTCGCAACAAGGTGCGTTCTCAGGCCTATTCAATGCTTGTTAATGATCTGACTGCTCTTCTCCAGAAATCACGTACAGGCATCGAGATAGAAAATAGCTCTCTGGGCCATTGGCATATCAAACAATGCATCTCCGCACTGGAGAAGCGGCGGAACCAAACAGCTTATCAGTATCGCGATGACCCAGACGCCCAGAGGAAATTGCGAGATGACATTGCGATACGTACACTCGAGGCCAACGCCCATGCCGATGAAACCACACGGTTGGAAAAGGCACATGCGTTGAAAGCCAATGGTACTACTGCTGGTGCGTTGTCTATTAACGTGATTCGTGATCAGTTTATATTCACTTCACGAATTCAGATACGTACACCACTGCGGAACTCTTGAGAGCTGCAAATAGTTGCCTGTTCAAGGATGGCCAGGACAAGACCATAGCCAAAAGCCTGCGCAATCGAGCCATCTTCCTGTTGCCACTGTGTAATCTTTTTCGTGGAGATAGCCTGAGAAACACGCAACTATCAGACCTATTCTTTCAGCAAGTACCAAACCCATACCTTGTCAACCTCTACAACGATGGCCAAATCAGCGACACCCATCAGATAGAGGTAAGTCAGCCTTGATGAGCTTCCGACTTTGCATCTAATGCCACCTTTCCAGGTCCTCAAAATCCTCGTCGATCAGGCGAAGCATAATCACAGCGGACGAGTTGAAGAGAACGGTTTGATACGCCACCAGCTCGTCGAGTTGTGTGGCTATGGAGCTACAGCAATGCATCTGTTTGGGCGGTTTCACATTGGAAGAGAACCTTTCCCTGATTTCGAGCCCGCTCTGGATTGCGAAGGCGCCGGAGAGTTTGGACAGAGGGCATGGTATAGTTGGTTTTTGTTCCCGGGAAAAGATGGTCCTGAGTGTGAAATGAGTTACACTAGTACGTGAATAACACAATGCTCACCTGTTCGCAGACCCTGATCACTCTTCAATAGCCCATAGCGATATTATACGGAAATTGCATCTCGATAATGACATACACCTTTCCAAGGTTACGCATGCTGGTCGAGTGTACGGCGCCTTCAATGCGAGACAGTGGGCAGCCTCGGAAGCGGCCACAAAAGCCATTGGTGGATGGAATGAATCCGGATCGTTCAAGGGCTGCTATGATCGTGAAGTGCCCTTGGAAGGCATGCTTGCTGCAGCCTCGTTTAACGCACAACGCCCTGAGAAGCACTCTTTGCCTCGTGGGCAG